GGCTGGGCTCCGCGGCCCTCCCACCCTGTTTGCGCCTCCGGCCCGCCAGCCCGCTTCCTGTCGTCTCCGTCTGCGAACGCTGAGGGACGTTCTCCTCTCCTCGGATCTGGACATTGAACGACCGCGCCGTTCTCCTGCCTCAGAGATCGGAGCACTTGATGAGACTTCTCCCCGCTTTCAAATCCGGGGCGCTCTGTGCCGCTCGCTACGGGGTGTCCCTGCGGCGCTGTCCTCAGCCCAGACGTCACTGCTTCCGGTCCCTCGCCCCCATCCGAGCTTTTCAGCCTCCCGCGCCGAGGCACCCACTCACCTCTCCTCAGCCGGGCGGAGGAGCCTCCCGGGACCAGTCCAGCTGGCTTGGGCTGCCCTGGGAGAGAGCCGGGCTGCGGCCTCGCCTGGACTCCCCAGCCCGAAGTCTTGCCCGCGGGTCACTGAGCCAGGCCCGGGGAGGTCAGGGCCCTGAGTGGTCCAAAGTGAGGGTCTCTAAGTCATACTCAGTCCCACTCCCAGCCCGGAGCCAATAACTGGAAAAGACGGGAGGAGTGTCACAGGGGAACTTTATTGAGAGGAAACATGGTCACACCAGCAGACATGCTTTCCCTCGGGGCCGGTCTTGCACTCGCGTTCTCTCTCTCTCTCTCCCTCTCTCTCTCTCTCTCACACACACACACACACACACACACACAGTCTCCAGTCTCTGCCACACTGTCCAGTTCTCAGCCACAAGGCAGGGGACACGCCTCAATTCCTAAGATCCAGAGGCAGCAGGGGCAGAGCAGGGGCAGGAGGGAGGCAAAGGGGAAGAAGTGGCCCGGTTCCTGGGTGGGGCTGGGAGAAAGGGGGTGCAGAGAGCAGGGGTGGGCAGGATGACCCATGGTCATCAACAGCTGCAAGAAGAGTGGAATCCTCAGCCCCAGGTGGCCTCAGCTCTGCAGGTCCCTCTCCATGGAGCCTTTCTGAGTTGGGCCAGAGCCTTGGGGGGAGGGTGGGGCCTCCCACCTCACACTAGTCCTCTCCGCGGGGTGGGGAAACGGGCAGGGCCGGGTGGGTGGCGGGTAGGACTCAGCTCTGGGGCTCCTCGGGAGCCTCGCCTCCCTCTTCCCCGGTGTTGTCAGCTGTCCACAGCGTCAGGTTGTCTCGAAGCAGTTGCATGATGAGAGTGCTGTCTTTGTAGGAATCCTCGCTGAGGGTGTGCAGGTCAGCCATGGCCTCGTCAAAAGTGGTCTTGGCCAGCGAGATGGCTTCCTCGGGGCTGTTGGCAATCTCGTAGTGGAAGACGGAAAAGTTCAGGGCCAGGCCTAGGCGGATGGGGTTGGTGGGCGGCATCTCCTTCTTGCTGATGTCCATGGCCTCCTGGTAGGCTGACCGGGCGGAGTCAATGATGCGCTTCTTGTGGTCACCAGTGGCCACCTCGGCCAGGTAGCGGTAGTAGTCGCCCTTCATCTTCAAGTAGAAGACTTGGCTCTCGGCCTCCCCCGCCTGCTTGATGAGGTGGCTGTCCAGCAGGCCCAGCACAGTGTTACACACTCCCCGGAGCTCAGTCTCCACCTTCTCACGGTACTCTCGCACCTCAGGGCCCTTCTCCTCTGAGCCCTCCTCATTGCTCTTCTGCTCAATACTGGACAGGACCCTCCAGGCAGCCCTCTGGCCCCCCACCACGTTCTTGTAGGCCACTGAGAGCAGGTTTCGCTCTTCGCAGGAGAGTTCCTCGCCCTTTTCCACAGCGCCCTTCATGAAGGCTGCCATGTCCTCATAGCGTTCAGCCTGCTCTGCCAGTTTGGCCTTCTGGATCAGACTGGCTCTCTCCATGGCTCTGAGAAAGACAGACGGGCGGCGGGCTAACTGGCTGCCTGGGGACCAATGCCGGACTCTGCGCCTCTCCTGCTTTCAGCCTGCCTTTTGGCTGGGTGGCCTGGCCCAGAGAGGGGTGGGGAGGGGCAGGGGGCGGGACCAGGGCCTAGGACCTGCCTCTCTCTCCTCTTCTCTCCACACCTTTTCCGGCTGTGCCTTAAAGGTAAAAGGGCTGGGATGTGGGGTGAGTCATCAGGACAGTCAGCAGGAGAAATCTGGGTGTGGGCCCCACCTGCACAGGCACCTTTCCGGGCTCCAGGATGCCCCCTCTTGTTCAGAGCTGTCATCACATGGCTGACCATATAAGGAAATTGCCCTGGTTTCTCAATCAGATCCTCCCTTACGGTGTCCTTCCTTGGGGTAAGGATGGCTTTAGCCACCTGGCTGCCTCAGCCTAGGCTAGGCAGAGTCCACAAAGGTGCAGGAGGATGGGGTTCCTAATTCTACCAGGTACCTTCCCTCCTTGGTTCAAGTGAAATACATCATGTTTAGGTAGGGCTATATACAGCTGCCTAAGCACTTTCACACTCATGATCTAATTTAATCCCTAAAATGTCTCTGTGAGGTATACAGGACTATAGAGATGGGGACATTAAATCTCAGAGAGGGGTGAGATTTGCTCAAGGTCACACAGCTACCAATTCCCTGAAACTCTTCTCTCTGTACCCTACTTCCTTTCGCTTTTCTCCCATTGAGGCCTCTAATATGTGAGCTCCAGACTGTATTTGGAAGTGAGATCCAGGCTTCTTCCTGAGTCTACATGAAGATAGTTCCATCCCCATATCTCACTGCCCTCCTCCCCCAGGATCCCCTCTGAGCTCCCAGAATGCACAGGTGGCAGCTTTCAGAGTGCCACTTAATGAAGTGTTTAACAAGCAGCCTCTGATGCTCCAGCCCAGCCTTTTTAATTAGTCACCCAGTAGGTTTGCTGAGTACATTTCCCATCGCTACACGCTTTTCCTTTTCAAGTTGATGGCCTGTTGCCACTTGTTTGAGGATTTACTCTCTGGCCCGCCACACTACGTCACCTGCCCCCTCCAAACCACTTGCCATCATGTATCAGCGGGGCTCATGAAGGGTGGGGGCCCAGCTCCCTGTCCCACTTTCCTGTCTGACTCAGTCTGCCCTCTACTGAGGCTGGGAAGCAGGCCACCTGGGTGCTCAGTTCAGTTTGATCCCCCAGGGGGGACGCTAGCAGGGAGAGACAGAATTGAGAAAAGGAGGTGGCAGTGACACATACCATTTTGTTTTATGGGACAGCAATCCCAGCTGACTGATGCCTCCCCCAGCCTGTCTCTCAGAAGTTTCCCTGCCCTTCCCTTTGACCATAGCTCTGACTCCTGGCAGAGGCTTCAGAGATAGAGACCTCTCTGTTGACAACCTTCTGTCACTGCTTGCTGGGGCCCTAGCCTCAAGTTTCTTCAAGAGTTTCAGGTGCTGGCACTGAGTCTATAAGGGTAGGCTCCTGGCTTATCTGCCCCACCTCTAGTCAAAGCTTAGATGGGGCTCAGGGGTGGGGCTCCCTTCACTGGGGTTCAGCCAGACTAATCCTTCAAACAGGATAATCAATGTCTCCCCTGGTTCCTCTGAGTGTCTGAACACTCACCTTGCTCTTCTGGAGGGAGGCTTAGGCTAGAACTCTGAGGACCAAAGATGAGATCCTCCTCTTTGCCACAAGGACATGTCTGAGCTAATGCTACAGATTTCCAAGGAAGCAGAAGGAGATTTTAGGCTTGACATCCCAAAGGCTTTGTTCAAATTGGAGCAGTGACACAGAAAATGAGGGAAAGGGACTACACTACACTAAAATACCAACTTATAGTGGGTATCTTTAGGTAGTGAGACTCAGTGACTTTGTTTCCTTTTGATTGTCTTAGTCTCACCAAGTTATAAATGGTTAATATGGATTATTTTTCTATGAGATATAGAACAGCCTAGTATCTTTGGAATCAGACTGCCTGAGTTAAATTCATACCAGCTATCTGTGGCCTTGGTCAAGTGACTTCACCTCTGTAAGCCTCAGTTGCTGTTAGTGTAAAATGAAGCTTATAAGAACTAAATGTTAATAGAAAGTACGGTAGAGTGGATGGTAACTATTATCATGTAATAAAATCCCTTCAGCTTTATTATTATAAACATATACACATAAAGCACTATGAAATGAAGAAGAGCCCCAAGCCAGGCTTTAGCTGAAGACCAGATCCTGCCCAGCTGGGTATCTACAGGGGAGAAAAGGGGGCAGAGTTTGCCCATAGCCTTCCCTCTGTAGATGGATGACTGGTCAGATGTGCTCAGCACTATCTCCTTCTCCAGCTAGAACATTCCTCTGGCCTCAGCATGCCCTGGACCCTCAAGGGCTTTCCTTTGTACTAGTCATCCAGCCTGGGGTTCCCCAAGTCCTGAGGGAAAGCTGAAGGTCCCAGGACATAGGAAGCCTGGAAGGCAGAGCCTGGCAGGCCTTGGAACTTTGGAGCTTATTCTGAATCTGGGGAGATAGCAATTTCTTTCTGCCTCTTAAGCCAAGGAACTTGGTGGTGGTTCACACCATGAGCTTCACACCCTCTAAGGAAGCCCTTCATTTCTGTTCCTCCCCTTCTGGGTCTCAGGGGTACATCTGGGAGCCAGGCTGCCTGACACCTCTGGCCAGCTGTAGCCTGTTGATCCTGACTCAGTTCCTGTGTCTCAGGTTCCTCCCTTTGCCTCCAGGCCTCCATTTCCCAAGTCTAAGAGCCCAGGCAGGCAGGAGGCAGCAGGCCCTGGCAGGGCACAGAAGCTCAGTCAGCTGCTTGAATCAACAGGTCAGGAGCTGGGGTTGCAGCCCAAAGGGGCTTTCCTCCTTCTGCGCCACTTCCCCCTCTTCTGTAGAGCATCCATCCTACCAGCAGGCTCAAGGCCTCTGGGCCCATAGTCAATCCTTCTTAGCTGATAGTAATAGGCTTTGAAAAGTTGTATCACAGAGAAGGCAGCAACCAGTTGCCATCTGCCTCCACTGAGAACAGAGGACAGGGTTCTGATAGCAGTGGGAGGGACTCTGGTTAGATTCCAGAAGGAACTTCCTAAGATATTTTTCAGTCTTAGAATGATCAAATTAAACAGGTGACCAGAGGAAGCTCTAACACCTTCTCCCTCTAGTTGCGAACAAGAGTCCAATTACCTAGCCAAGAGCTTACTCTACTAGTTGCTTTTGGGAAGGGATATTAGATTTTTTTTTTAAGCGATTCAGCTGTTCTGAGTCTTTTTCTCCTGAAGGCACTTCTGTTTAGTCTCCCACATCTCCCAAACCAGTCCAGTCTAGAAGACAGTGTGGAATTTATGGAGAGAATGGAATGAGGTCAGGGTGTGGGAATGCATCCTAGCTCTGTTATAAGGCCTTGGGCAGGTCCCTTCCTGCCTCTGGGCTTCAATTTCCCCATCAGTAAAATGAAGAGGCTGGCCCAGATAAACTCTAAGCCCTCTAAGACTATGGCATTCTCTAATTTTAGGGTTTCTACAAGATCTCATCCTCCCACAACTGTATTCATTCCTTGGGTAGTGAAGATGGGTCAGAGGTGGGGAAGAGATAAGAATCCAATCCTGAATTTGCTGCTTTAACAACTGGGTGACCTTAGGCAGCTCCTATACCTTCCCTGAGTCTCAGCTCCCTCATCTGTAAAAAGGCTGACATCCCCTTCCCCATAGGCTAAGATGAGAAAATGGAGCTGGTACCCAGCAAACCCTTACTGAATGGTAGCAAATAACTTTTAGCCCATAATTATTTTTTTTAACATGTAGTACATACAGCATTTGGTCATGTGCATGTTTCAATGCGGGACAGTAGCTGGGGGAAAAAAGTTTCCATGAGATTGTTACCCTGGGTTGGGTTCAGTTCAGGGATGAGACAGTATCAGACTAGAGTTAAACCCTGTCTCATCCCGGGCTGAGACCTTTCAGAGTTTAGAGGTCAGCTAAGGCTTGGAGGTCTCTGGAACTGAGACCAGGAGTCCTGAAAGGGCAAAGTGAAAAGGCTTCTTCCCAGGTCCCGTCTGACTTCAATGTCCCTCTTTTGAATCTTCAGAGCAGCACTGACCAACCAGAACAAAGTTAGAAGTGAGGGTAAGTCGCCAGGCACAGTGGCTCAAGCCCTTGATCCCAGCACTTTGGGAGGCTGAGGTGAGAGGACTGCCTGAGCCCAGGGGTTTGAGACCAGACTGGGCAAATTGGCGAGACCTCGTCTCTACATTAAATCAAAAGATTACCCAGGCATGGTAGTACGTGCCTGTAGCTCCAGTTACTTGGAAGGCTGAGGTGGAAGGATCACCTGAGCCCAGTAGGTTGAGGCTGCAGTGACCAAGAGCTTGCCACTGTACTCCAGCCTGAGGGACAAAGTGAGACTCTAACTCAAAAAAAAAAAAAAAAAAAAAGACCCCCTGCAAAAAAAAAGACCCACACCCACTGCAAAACCCACCCACAGACCCCAAAGTAAAGGTGGTACCAGACAGCCAAGCATATGGCAAGAAGAGGGGGATCTTTATTTTGGATTAAAAAGGTACAGGACAGCAGACAAGCAGCCCCCAGCCTGGGCTCAGCTGATTTTCCTTGGCCTGGCCCATTTCCTCTAATTCTTCTGAAGAACATGGGGCTGTGCCACCGAGCTCAGTCCCTCAGTGTCTTAAGCAAAGGATACAGGCACCGTCCTTGCATCTTACCTACTCCAGGTGGGGGTTGGGGGGTGGACAGGGCCGTGGGAACAGTGTCAAGCCAGTTGTGCTTAAAACAGTCACCAAACTTGTTTAGCAGCGTCATCCACCATCAGTACCCCAGAAGGCTCCTGAAGAAACCTGCTCAGCTGGACTATGGCTATGCCTGATTAGGGGGTGGGGGGCAGGCTGTAAGGCAAGATTCCTAAAGAGTCTTGACACTTCACAAATGTGGGGAAGTAAGGTGAAGGAGGGAATAGAGAGTTTCAGCACAGTATTACATTATTGTGCTGACAGCTGCGTTATGGCTTTCTACACTCTGGCTGGCATGGAGTGAGAGTGGGACAAAGAGGCCAGCCCCTGCCCTCTATGGGGGGCCCTAAAGAGCACACAGGCAGGGCAGGCTGAGGGGCAGACCCTGTAGGCACAGATGGTGGCAGACGGGCCACAGGTTAGGCAGGTGGAGGTGCCGGGTGCCTGGCTCCCTCCAGGCCACTCCTGGAGAGGCAGAGAGCAGCAGTCCTCAGGAGGTCCTTAAGCCCCCGCACACACTGGAGATCCCAGGCAGGACAGCAAAGAAGGAGAAGAGAGAGGGTTAGCGGGATTAGGAGAGAGACAGCTTTATAGGTGCCCCCATGGTGGGGACAGGTGCGTGCTGCCACAGCACCTGCCTCTCCCCCAGAGAAGGGCCAAGGCTCGGGCAGCAGGCAATGAAAACAAAGCAGGAGAGAAAACAGGTAGGTGAGAGAAAGCTCAGCAGGGACAGAAAGCCAGGACACAAGAATATTAGTGACTGGTGGCCCCTACACACCAGGACACTACCAGCACAGGCCCAAGCGCCTCAGAGCAGGGACACCAGCCTCTTCCCAACCTCACCCTTCACCTTCTTTTCCAGTTGGAGCTGCTCTGTGCGAAGCTACTTCCTCAGTCCAGAACAAGGCTGGGCTCTTAGCCCTGCCCCACATCCCGATACTTCAGCTTAGAGGGGAGCCCTGGGGACCCTACCACCGCCAGCACACACACCACACCACACGCCAGACAGATGAATGGGCTCCACAGGGCTGGCAAGGCATGCAATGAGGATGAGATGGTGTGTGAGGGGAGCGGGCAGTGCTGGCCAACAGGGGAGATACGGTCTTACCAGCTAACCCTCTGCAAAGAGGCTTGTTAGCTCCCCTCAGGCTGTGCAGGAGATGGCAAAATCCTGACAGGTGTCCTCCTGGGGGAGATACCAGAGAGGTGGGCCAGCGTTATGAGTTGTCTGGCTGGGTCCTGATGCTCAGGTGGGAGTTGGTGACCAGGGAGGCTCCAGCTCTCAAACTGGAATCTATCATCTCAAACATTTTCTTAGCTGAGCAGTCACTGGGCATCAGAGTGGAAAGGCAGTAGTGAAGAACAACTTGGGGGTCTCCAAGCCCGAGGCAGGTAAAGGTGGAGGGAATGAAGAGGGGACAAGATGGCCTCTTCTTTGGTGCCCATGGGGGCTCAACCACAGCCTCCTCTGCTCTGCCTCCAGCCTCCAGAGCTCCAGGCAGGTGAGGGGAATTTTAGCCAGGTCGCTGGGCTGCCTGCCTTCTCTCTGTCTCCCCAAGAAAGACCCAAGTTTGTCTGAAAGAACAGAGGGCTGCCAAGTAGGGCCTCAGCAAAGGAAAAGCAAACAAAAACCAAACCAAACCAAATCAACTCTTAAAAACAAAAGTTTTATTACAAGCAGGAACAAAGAATACTGGCTTAAATAAAAGGCAAGTGGGAGCCCCCTCCTCTAGCCAGCTTCCTCCCCACTTCCTAAGGTCACTACAGCAATGGCTCAGGGCCCTGAGGCTGTGGCAAAGCTGTTTTTCCCACTGGGGACCCTCTGTGGCTGCCCATCCCCAGCTCTCTTTGCAACCACTAGTCTCTGGAGTAAGGAAGGGAAGATTCAGAGACTTCCTATGTCACTTTCCAAGGGCTTTAGCCCATGTGAAGGGCCAAGGAGGGGGATGGAAGGACAATATCTATATTAATTTAAAAAAAAAACAAAACTACAACTCCCAGCAGAGGAAAGCTATCCTCTCAGTTTCTGACCCAGCCTTAGGCCAATCTTCACTTGTCTCTTGGCCCACTCTGGGCTTCTTCCTGAAATACCTTGTCCTCTAAGTGCTTGGCATTGGGTTCCATACTCAGAGCTTGGAGAAGAGGGTGTGGACTATAGGATGGTGGCCGCTCCCCATAGCCACCACCCCACCCACCACACCCAGCCTCAGCCTGTCTGGGCAGGTCCCAGCTGGAAGCCTAACCTGGGGGCTGGGTGGAGGGGTGCGGTGGCAGAGTTCCCAGCCACTGCTTGTCTGAAGTCCATGGAGGAAGGAAGGATAATAGGATGGGGGCTGAGCCCCAGCGGAAGCCCGGAGGTTTCTTGTAAACCATGCATGTGCTCCCCGTCCCCATGGCTCAGGCTGCTCCCTGATACCCAAGGGGAATGGGGGAGGGGACAGCCCAGGGGATATGGGAGCCAGCCACATTCACACAGGGCACACATGAACACACACACACACTCACTCACTCACTCACTCACAGCCAGAAGGGCTCTTGTAATAAGCTTACTAAAATCAACTAGCCTTCTGATAACCCTTTACCTGGCACTACACAGATAGCAATGTAGCTGACGTTTTCTTCTTCTTCCATTTAAAAAAAACTATGTAGAAAAGAGGTCTATAAAATTGTGCAAAATACCCAGCATTAATAAACCCGTTTCAAGTATTGCCAGCATGAGGACAACTTGCCCATCCCCAGACCTGACTTCAGAAAGAGGTCAGGGGCAAGCCAGGATTCCTTAGAGCCCTCCATGGGCAGGGGGGAAGACAAGGCCACTACTTCCTTACTGCGCTGCCCAGGAATCGCAGAAGGAACTGAGGTTCTGGGTGCCTGGCTGGCTGATTCAACTTCCTTCAACACAGACTGCCCCTACCCCTCACGAGCCCTGCCCTCTCTACTGGAACCCAGCTCTAATCCTATTAGCCAACTCCACCAGAAAAAAAAAAAAAAAAACCCTATCAAAAAACCCCAGGGAAGAAAGAACAAGGATCATCACCAAGAGAATGAAGGAGCCCACACACCAAAGCAGCCCACTGAGGCTTCTTCTCCCACAGCCTGTTGTCCAGAGCTGACTGCTCACCAGTCCTGTCTCACCCTGAGGACCCTGGCTGAGCAAGGCCAAAGCAGTTTCCCCCAGCTGGGAGGCTTCACACTCAGTTCACACCCTCACTCACACAGGGCTTGCCCTGACACAGGCAGAGACTTGGCATGGTCCCCTGGGTGGCCTCCAGAGGCTCTGGCCTCCCCTGTCACTGATCAGCTGGGGCCCAAGGCTGACAGAACCTGGGTTTGGGGAGCAGAGGGTACAGCCACGGAACAATGTGGGGAAAGCCACGCAGGGTGGGAAATAAATACGAATAGACTTGAGTCTTTGGCAGCTCTGCTTCCCTCAGATGGAATGGGTAGGGTCCTGGCAGGTGTGGAGGGCGGCAGGTGAGTGCAGAGGGGCAGACAGGCCAGCAGGTGGCAAGTACTGAGCCCTGATCAGGGGTGGCCTCCTACCATGTTGGCGTCGGGCTTGGCTCTGCAAGCTGGCTCATCACTTCTGATGGGCGAGGGCAAAACGGTGTCGGACTGCACAAATCCCCTCCGGTCAATTAGGCTTCCAAAACACAAGGGAACACACATGAGGGCTCTGCCCAATGCCAAAGCTTCAGACCTGGGACTGGATGGCAGAGTCCATCTCCTTGCCAAGGAAAGACGCAGTCCAAGCAAGGCTGAGGAAAGGAGAGCTGCTCTCCATTTGAGGGCTCAGGATCTTTTCCTTCTCGCTGCCCCCTGACTACCTGGCTTTTGGCCACAGAATTTATTCACTGTTAATTCCAATTGGGCTACCAGTCCATCTGGCAGCCAAGAAGCCAGGCTGCAGGAGAGGGGAAAAGCAATGATGAACAGGTATTTGGCAGTAGTGAGATTCCCTACTTTCCCTTCACCCAGGTAGGACGGGTGACAAGAATACTGGGTGGGGCAACAATTCAATCCCTCTTTTGGAGCTCTGGCGCCCCCTGGTGTTGGGATGGACAGGGAATTTTCCCAGCTGGACTAAGACACCAGGGTGCCTCTTGCCAGGAGAGGATAGAGGCCCCGCCGCCCAGTCTGGGTGACAACCAGAAGGGCAGCGTCATTCAAGCGTGGCCTAAGCAGTCATTATGGTTATCCCTGGGGAGTAGGATTATATGTAATGACTAAATGTTCTTCTTTTGTGTATTTTGTACTTAGTTTTTTCCTACAATGAGCACATGTGATTAAAAACTATAACTCTACACAGAATTCCTTTATATGACAAATGCCCTGATGCATTCAGCAGGGAGTAGTAGAGCATGTCTGGTGTGGGGAGAGGATTGCTGATATCCAGAACGACTCTAAGAGGTGCAAACTTGCTGGGCCACCCCCCACTGGCTGGGCCTGGCACTGTGACCTTTCTTTTGCACTCCACTTGCTTACCTGGGAGGTAGGGGGCCGCAGAGCACAGCACAGCAGTTGGTGATAATACTTTTATGGCTGTAGGGGTTGACAGAGGCCTCACCACCCCTCTTGCTGGACCACGAGCCTTTGATCTGCAAGCAGGAAGCAAGCCTGGGTCAAGTACCTCCTTTTACTTCACTTTTCTAGAAGGAAGGTCTAGATGCTGGGGAAACCTGGCCAATTCTGAAAATAATTCTGGTTAGAGGAGGGGGAGTGTCTTTAACACAGGTCATTCAATGAGGATGTGGGGGACTGCTGGATGTGAGGGGCCCTCTGCGGAGATTAAGACAATCCCTACCAGGACAGAAAACAGCACAGCCAAAAAGAGCTTTCAGAGAAAAATTTTTAGATAAATCCTCTCTTTTCTGGCCAGCCACCTCCAAGGAAAGGCAGCACAGAGGCACAGGGCTAGGGCCAACCTGGCTGTGGGCCTTGGCTATACTATTCACTGGCTGCAAACCTGGACAGATCACCACTTCTCTGAGTCTCAGTCCTCATTTGGAAAATAGGGTCAATAATACTAATTCTCAGATGGCATGATTGGGGCATTAGACAAAATCCTGCCAGATTCTCTAGCTCTGTGAGTTGCTTAGCAATAAAGAATATCTGCTTGCCTTTAACTCCGTTTTCTTTTTTTTTGAGTTGGAGTCTCACTCTGTGGCCCAGACTGGAGTGCAGTGGCCGCTTCCGGCCACTGCAGCCACGACCTGCTGGGCTCCAGCGATCCTTCCGCCTCAGCCTTC